AGAATCAGCTGCTTGTACGATAGAAATCACCAGCCATCATGCATCTTTTTCTTCCTCTGGTAAGTGTAGTATGTCTTGGTTATGCGCTACTACAGCCATCTCTGAAGCTGCTCATGTCCACTGAGCGTGGTAACGAGTCTGCAAAATGCTAAATCTCTCTCTCTGCTGGGTGACTGGGGCGTTTCAGGAATTTGGTCCCTGCTAACCTTTTGAAATCGTACACTTTTCAGTTCGAATTAGTTTTTTTCTGATCCTTCTGGTAGGGTGTAGATTTTGCTAAATGCTACCATCTGAAAGTGCGATAGCTGGTAAATGGCAAGAGTCAGAAGGCTGTTATTTGTGAAACCTCTGAAAACTGGACCAACAAGCCACAACTGTTTTCTGCCTGAGCATATTCACTTCTTAGCGCACTACTAAAGAGACGTCGACTACGTATAAATAAACTTCTACTCTTTATGAGGGCAGTTTCAGGGAATAGTTTGGCCAGGCTCTTAGAAATGATGTTTTCAAGCGGTGAACTGTGAAAATTCCCAAATGGTGATTTCTTCAAAAGCGATCTAAGCCGATTGGCCAGGCCCTAGAAGTGCCTCGTCTAGGACTAGGTCGCCGCGAGTTTTGTCTGCTGTCTTGCGAAGCACTCAACTGGATCTATTTTAACTGCCGAAGGTTTTGATCCGAATTGCCGACTTTTAGGCTCTCCTCCTCATTCACGGCTGCAGCGGACTGAATCGTGAGTTTATAGCATTCCTTAAAATTCTTTTATGATCACAATATGAAATTGTGTTACATGAACAACTCATATTAGACAAATTGCCGTGCTTATCCGGCTTCCGAAGTTATCATGATTTTTCAAAAAGAGCTCTAGAATGCACTACAGGAAATCTAGACAGATGCCAGTATGTTTCAGTTCCAAATGCGGTGGATGTCACAACAGAAGCCGTAAATATAATGAACAAATTCAGACAACAAGTAGCGGATGGATCTGTACCCGGCAACATCAATGCGAATCTTCCAGGCTCTCAGTCCATGTTCCAGCTGGTAACATTTTGCCCATGACATTAATTGTTCCGTTAGAAAACAAAATCTGTATTCTTTTACATCTTTTTCTCTCTCGCTCTCTCTCACTCTTTCTCTATATGAGCGATGATTTTTACTTACCGACTGGCTTGAAAATCTCTCGAATAGTGTCTATGGCGAGCTAGCATAGAGTTCAGACATGCGAAAAAGTTCGTCACGAGTTCATAGCCCTCTTCAATCGAATCGATTGTGAAAGGAACAGTTTACGACGGAAGGGGCTCCAGAAGTTCCTCCTTGGTAGCAATCTATGACCCCGACAAAGCCACACGGGTGTAGTGTCATCATTTTGAGAGGCTACTAAAAATGAACGAAACAGGGTCAAGAATTGTCCCGATGCCCGCTGCCGCTCGATTCTTTAGAAAGGAGGACGTGTTTAGCTGCCCCATAGAGGCTTAGATCATACAATATCTAGCACTTTTACTTCCGATGCACTCCCCCGCACGCGGCTGTCGCGAACTTCGTTTCGCCGTTATTGCGGCTCAGGCCTTTTTCATACAGCTCGTTCGCTATGCGATTATTACTTTTAGCATGATTCTAGTGTCAGTCCTTTTGTTCCTGCATTTTTTAACTTGCCGCCGCATTCTGCTACCTTGCTTCGCGCGCGACGTCTCTCTTCGCGACACGACGATTTCGTTCCTACTGCACCACAGCCTCCGCTAAGATACAATGCATACTGCCACACTTTGCTGTGCAGCTACTTAGAAAAACTTGCGAAGGTGACCTTTTCATCGTTGAAGCATTTTCAAACTTAGGAGTGATTGAAATATGAGGACCCTATATTGATGTTGAAGGATTTCTGAATAGCTTCTTGTTTACTTAGACACTAATGATCTAGTTTTGCATCAGCCCTAATTTTGAATGGTTTTTCTCTTCATCAGCCTTTCGGTGAACTACCCATGCCATGTCGAGCGCATTTTTCCCTCATTCATCTCCGTGGGATTGGCTTCGCTTGCTTCCTCCAATGCGTCTGATCTGTTATTTCAAAAAGCCTAGAATTGTTTCTTCTTCGCCACGTGAAAACTGTTTTATAGGTTATCTTTTTAGCTGCTCTCATAGCAGATGAAAGTAATGAAAGGTACGGCGTAAGCCGTACCTCTCATTACATTCATCTGCTTAGGTAAGCGTAAGCAATGGGGAAAAGAAGGCGGAAAATAAGTCGCTTTTCTCTGGTCCTACTTCAATTTATAGGGTCTGTTCGTTAAATGAGTGACTTCACATCATGGAGCTATTTGGAGTTTCTGAATCTCATGCTATCATAGAATCGAAATTCCAGAAACCGAGTGCTGTGCTTAATTCAACGGCTCGAATGAATATTTTAAACTGTAACGCAAAGAGCGATAACATTCCAGCAGGCTATTCAATCAGTATTTACACGTGAGTTATTCAAGATAAATCGTATTCTGAAAGAAAATGAAGAGCTTTACATTGCTCTCCGTCCAATTTTGTTTGCAGAACGAGCCAACTTCCGTCCAGCGACAATTCAACTACAGTACTCAGTTACGTACTAGAATCGTGGAAAAATGAACCGACTTCGCATGGAGTTGACAGCGTTGCTGACATTATTACGTACAGCAACGAACATCTGAAAGACTTTGCAAATGTGAGATCTTATCGGAGTTACCTGCCGAAGGTGAAAACATGAAAAACTCAACAGAATCGCTTTCATCAGTTGAAATGATGTCGAAAACAAGGAATAGAGCGCTAAAGTGTTTGGTACCTCTTGTGGGTCGTTGAAGGGTCATGTCAGGAGGTATAGCACTATTCTTTATGCGATGTCGCTCTGCCAAGACCTGTTCTGAAATTGTAGGCTTACTACTTCCAGACCTTCTTTTGACCAAGAGTATTAGTACTAGAGTTCAATCTGGAGTATTTTGGACTCTATGAAAAATTCGATGTCGTTTTTTGAATAAAATTCGGGCAATTCATTATGTCAAAATGGTTTACGAATTTGGTTTCGTAGAAATTGTCTATATGCTCAAAAAATTCAATTTCCAGATGGTTTACTACAAATCAACCGAAGTTGGATGTTATTATAATAAATGTAACACAGCAGGACAGGCAACGCACGCAGTCGCTTGCGTATTCAACATGTTATGAGTTGTATCTTCTGTAGATATTTTACCATCAGTCGGATCGCCCGGCTGATGCCGGGCTCCCCTCCTTCTAGCGTTGGAATTGCCTACCCTTCTGCACCCTTTTCAAATTTGGTGCCTTCGGACAGGAGTTATTCATTCCCGGCCAAAAACACAAACGCGCAGCACTATTCGTGTGCGCCCCGTCCGCAATTAACAAACCTCCTTAGGTTCTATGTGTTTGAGTAACTCAATTTATTTCCCACTTGTTCAACCTTGGTTTCGAACTTTCGCTGCTAGTCTAAATAACATTTTTTTGCTTACCTGTGAGCGGAGTTATGTCCTACTACCCAACATAGCTGCTCCTATCCTGCCTCCTATATTTCTGTCGAATATGAGCCCTCTAAGTCCAAATTAAAATTTTTTCCCACAAACCCCGCCCCCTGTGGGCGGAGTTCGGTTCTGTCATCCACCATGAGTGTTGCCATTCTGCCGCCTGTATTCCTACCAAATTTGAACTCTATAGGTCTATGGGAGTAGGAGTTATGATTCTCCGGTCAAACACACACACACACTCACACACACGCACACACACATACACAGACACACACAAAGGCACACAAAGACACACACACAGACACACACAGTCGCACACAGGCATACAGACAGACACACACAGACAAACCAACAGACACACTTAGCGCGTTATATATAGTAGGATAAGTAGTATAGTGATCTAGGCCCAAGTGCTGTAGGTGGCAAGCAGGACACGCTATGACTTATGATCCGGGTATCGAGTACCGTCTAGATATTCGCCCGGGACAACCAAGTCCTCCATCTTTGTGGTGTCATTAATCAGTACTAGACTCATTTGGGAGGATCAAAGCACTGTCTCGTGAATTGATTGGCCACATCAAGTCATTGTTCAAGCCGCATGCATTCATAATACCATTCATGATGAAAGACGAATGTGGGTGGGGGCATCCCAGAAACGGAGTTAACCCCAAATACCTTATCCATCCCAGTTTTTACTATAGTGATCTATGTGGCAATATTTTCTACCGCTAGGAATAGAATTGTAGATGGGTTGACTATTTAAGTTCGGTAGCAAGGGCTCCGAACAACTATACATAACTGCTTTTTCTTCGGCTTTTTGTTTATAGCTCCCAACAAAGAGCTTTGGCAGATGAGTGTTTAGTTTCATGATTAACTCAACCACATGAAATTCTATGGAACCAGTCCGTTTTGTACCTATGCTAAAACGTGAGCTAACGGCTGCAAATCCTCACAGAGGCCTTTTAGTCCCTCAGCTCTGTAGAGGTAGATACTTGATATTTGACTGATTGAATTCATCGCCTGACCCCTCAAGCGCTCCAACCAAGTAGTCCAATGAGCTCATTGTTTAGTCAAGCCTTTAAAAGTGAACACCTAAAACTTCAATTTCATCTGGTGGCATGAGTTAGCCTCAGCATCACTTCTGTTTGTACGAGGGTGAAAATTCTCTCTCGAAACCATGCCTTCAATCTGCAGTGGTTCAGCGCTTCAATGAGTTATTTCCGTCATGCGTCAGGAACGCACCACTCTCAGTATCTCACAATATGAGTTTCTAAGGAAGAGAGCTTTTTCTGAGCAGTCAGTGTGTCCTGTAGGACGCTTACACTGCATAGAGTGACAACAAGCTCATAACCTTTCATTTTGGACCTGTGAAGCGTTTTGAGAAAAAAAACCTTAATAAAAGCTGTATCGCGAAATCAGCTTCATCTGTAGAAAGGAAACTTGCGCATGGGTTCTGCTATATTGAGCTGTAGCTGGAGCTTTTTCTCATCTGATAAGTATACATTTAGACCGCAAATGAACAAACCGCTATACATACGGAGTACGGGAGCTCAAGGTTGTAACTCGAATGAAAGCTGTGGTAAACAGCTCGCCGGATCCACCTGTATCAAAGAAGGAACGTATGCAGGCCTTTGTGATCCGGGCGAAAAGACATTCGCGGGTACACCGCTCAATATGACAGATGCGGTTCGCCAGCATATCATCGACATGCACAATTATCGCAGGTAAATTTGTCGTGAGCAAGTTAGGACGTTTACGAGGCTAATCATAGCCCAATGACTTTTTTTNTTTTTTAATTTTTTTTCACTTCACGAACCTCAAGGCTATACACAAGTCAAAATCACTAGCGATGTACGAATCCAGATGATTCGGTATCAAATTAACGGCTCAAATTCTTCTTTTGCCTCTCCTTTCCCCGTCTCCATATAAATCTAGTTTCATGATTATGATTTGAGCGTACCCCGACCTGTCCATAGGATTGATGAAAACTTTTAATAACTTGGGCCAAGGTCCAGAACCAGTGGGTAATGTAGTAAGATTGTAGCAGAAAACGGAGGGTCTCTGTATTCTCTTGGGAGCAGCGCACTTTTGGGGTTAAGGAATAGAATAGAAAGTATGTTTGAATGATTTTTTAAGCAAAGCGTCATATTGATTTTTCTTCTGCCATTTGCTTCCCTGATGAGGAATACAGTGAGGGAGCTGGGAAAAAAGATCGTCCCACTCTTTTCTTCTCTGTCTCAACAAACAGCCAGATTATAGGCGTGCCGAAGACGACCCTGATGACCTGATGCGATTCAAATCGGATTTTCAAAAGCTAATTTACTATTTTTTCCTTGTGAAGTAAATTCAATTATTGGTAGATGGATCACAAGGACTGTGTAAATAGTGTATTAAAGCGGATTATACAAAAATATTCAGACATCTCTCCAACCTATCGCGATGAGTGCAGAATTAGAAAGAAACGAACTCAGAACACAGAAGGCCCTCCAACGAACTCATTCATCATAAGATACCCTAACTTCATGTTCCTTCAGATCAAGACTTGCCCAAGGATTAGTTCCGAATGGTACTACAGGCAAAAGACTACCTGCAGGAACAGATATAGCCCAATTGGTGAGCGATTTTCCCAAGAACAATGAATGGCGATGATCTCAACGGTTGACACGAATGCTATCTAATTTCACCGCACAGCCTCATTGCCCTCACATATTTTAAAAGTTTTGTAGTGCCGAAGTTCATGCCTTAATGAACCTTGGCATTTTTTGAACGGGTAATTGAGCTGCAACCCCGCCTTCAACCGAAGCTGGTAACGTCAGCCGATTTATTCGGCTGACGTTTCGGCGTTGTCGCCCTCACCAGTAGCTGAAAGAGTGTGAGAAACGTCGGGAACACCTCTTTCGAACACACCTAAACTATCGAAACGTCGTCCGACCACGTTTTTGTCAATCGTGGCTGCTCTGTTGTCTGAATCCGCATATCCGTGTGTCCGTATCTGAAACTTCCCATTCTTATGTATTGTAAGTTTTTGTGAGTTATTTCTAGAAATACAACATGGAACTTGAGAGGGCAGCGCAGGCATATGCGAACAACTGCCCAACAGGACTTTCATCTGTAGCATCACGTCCTGGCACTGGCGAAATTTATCAGTCCCTTCCATCTAATAAGTTGGCAATTATGGACGTTATATCAAGGGTATGGCCGTTATGAGTGAGTGTTTTTACATTTCCTTCCTTGCAATCCTTTTCCTTCCACCTTCAGGCATTGAAAGCATCCTGGCATCCAGTCTGGATCGTTGGCTTTAGCGACACATTGGAATTCGTACAAAGACTCGAAGAAACACCTAATGCACCAATTATGTTCACTCAAGTAAGTTAAAATTCGAATCTTCAATTCAAGTAGCTAATGTGCGACATCACACGATGCGGTCTCCCACCGCTCTGGTGTAGGTTCCTTAGATTAGGAATGTCAGATGATAGCTACGATCCTAATAACGAAAAATTTTTGCTCTTGTTAATATCCGCAAGATTGCAAGGGGAACATAAGTAGGATAGTGCTTCTCGAGTCATCGATTGGGAATTGAACTTTTAAAAATTCAAAGTCTAAAACTTCCGTGAATTCAACAGTATCTAGAATGATCAATAATTTTTATTATGAAGACAGGTAGTCGTATGCCAGGTAGCGCACCAGTACATTGTGATCCAATTATCAAAGTTCGGAATCATGCTTATCCGGGCACGCACTCCATCGCTCTGGGATTGCCTAGTTGGTACCAGACTCGTCCAGAATCTTCAAAGTACTTAGTTGTACATTGGCTGTTTATCTTTTAACATAGTATAGGCCTACACACATTCAAAACAAGGCTGCGATTCTGAGTGGGAGTCGAATGCGGAGCATGTCCTAAAAAGTGACTGCACCATAACCAGAGCTGAAAAATTCTAAAGACTTCATCAGCGGGGTTCACATCAGCATCAGTTCAATAACTTCGACATCCATCCTCTCCTATCTCCATCATTTTGCCTTGTAACGCGTCAGATTCACCAATACTGCTTTAATGGCAGAGTTAATCTGATTGTTCGTACTTTAATCGATATTGCTTATTGGTGCGATTAAAGGCACAGTTCACGACGAAAATGGTTTCTGAAATTTTCCCACAGGATGAATTTGAGGTCCCCGCGTAGCCCATACCTGGCACTATTAAGTCGGAAAATGGCTCGGTTATGGAGTAATAAAGGCTCAAAGCTTGGCCCGTGTGTATTCTCAGGCGAGTTTCACCGGCATTGTAGAGGCTGCACCGTTCAAAAGGGAACCCATGTAGGAATTTCAAACAACTTGTCATGATCCATAGCGACAGTGAAAGAGAGTTCTGTACAATTTTGGCCCAATGTAGTCAGCTCTGTGCGCAATTGCAATAACTGAAATCTCGTCCGAATACCCCTTCCATGTTGTTTCCGTTATGGCAATCTCGTCTAATCTCTATTTTCTCTACTATTGAGGAACCACAATTTTCTCGGAATCGGCGAATTCTCTTGCTTTCTTCTTTACCGATGGGCTATTCCTAATCTATACTTCCGCTTTTCGAATAAAAAAGGGTACCTCAAAGTTATCGTGAACAGTGCCTTTAAACGATGCGAAAAACTCCTAGTCACGTACTTTCTATTAATATGGTAGAGGAGCTTGAGCTCGTTTTTGGCCTACGTGATGGCTTATAAGGACTACCAGGCGGCTACGCACGCTATCGCGTGCGCTGGGGGCTCTAGCCATAGGGGACGGAACCCATGAGCTTCTGATTTTCATTATAGACCTTTATCATCTGAGCCTCTTCCCTGACGCTTCTGTAGCGGCCATCATTTTTTTTTGTCTCATGGGAAGCATGGAATTTTTTCGCTAGATCGCGAAAATTCGGGCTGATCGGCGAGCAGTTCAAGAAGGGTGTATGATGTGTAATAGAGAAGTTTGTCCAGCTCGGCCGGAGTATAAGTGTGGAATACATAACACATGATTTTGAAACATGAAATTTGTCAAAGCAACACTTCTGTATACACAATATATCAGTTCGCCCGGCTAACGGCGGGCTACCCTCCTTCCCTGTTTAAATGCCTCCCCGCCTCCACCACCCGTCAAACTTCAGCGTTCTAGTTCCATGGGGACAGGAGCTATGAGTTTCCAATCGAACCCCGCCCACTGGCCCACTGTGGGCGGAGTCCGCTTCTGCCACCCACCATAAGTGTTCCCATCGTGTCGCCTGTACTCCTACCAAGCTTGAACGCTCTCGGTCCATGGGGACAGGAGTTATGAATTTTCGCCCAAACCCCACCCCCTGCGGACAGAGTCCGGTCCTGCCACCAACCATAAGTTTCCCATCGTGCCGCCTGTAGTCCTACCAACTTTGAACTCTCTCTCTAGGTCCATGGGAGTTATGGATTTTCGTATATAAACGTAAGAAGCGATGCGAGCTTCGAGGCACGTTCCGCCCATTGTGGGCGGGCCTCCGCTGACGTCATTTATGCAGGATACACCTTCGACAGTGCTCCTCCTACATCAACTTTTTCCCGCTCCGTCGACTTTCTCCAAACCGAGTTATATTTTCATAAAGCATTGCATTTTGGAGAACGCCCAGCCCATGGGGGGTGGGTCTCCCCAGTTCGATCTAACTTACCAATGCATACCTCTAGCCACCTTCAAACCCCTATTTTGAAGCCGTCTTGTGACTGAATTTGAAATCATGGTCCGCAGTACAGCTCATTTCGATGCACGCCACTCCCACTGCGGGCGGGGCTCCGCCAAGCTGATGTCTGCTTTATACTACTCGGGACATGGCCAACTCATACCACGCTTGACCCGGTCTCTCCAGCAGATTTAAAGAAGCTAAGGAATTTTGTGACAGACATACAGACAGACAGAACGACAGACGAAGCGCTTTATAGTAAGTAAGTAGGGTTCTATGTATATGTAATTCACTACCTTCAACCTCCAGGACGAATTAAACTAATCGATTCTGGATCGACGGAAGGATGAATAGACCTAAACGAGTAACGGATCACGGTTAATCTCTCGTGCTAAACATACGATATTTCGTCACTTAGTCCTGTCCACCACTAGCCTTAACTGAGCCCAGAAAAGCTGAATTCGGCCTAAATTGTAGGATTTGTTATTTCAGATGGCATGGGGTAATACTACTGAAGTTGGTTGTGGTGCTGCCCGTTGTTCAAGTAATACTACCGTTATTTGTCGCTATAACCCAAGGTAATCTTCTTGTTTTGATCAATCTTCATATAATTTTTGAAAATTTTGACTCTTGAGTAGGGGCGTAGTCCATATATTGTTAGATTGTTTATAATTATGATGATACATGTCAGCAGAGCAGCAAGTTACAACTCTGCTTACCAATTGAGACGTTAGGGGGAACGGCTCAAAGCATACAAATGTTCTAGTTTCATTCCTCACTGACGTCTTATTGAAGAGTTTTTAGCTCGGCCGCCGTCACCTCGTGATATAATATTTCCGGTGGAATCGGTCGGAAGCTTGTAGAAGGTCCTAATGGATTGGTTGAATGAATGGAAAAAGATCTGTGAAGAGAAAATGAGATATTTGGAATTAGGAACATGAATAAGGGCGTGGAGCGTTTGAGCTTTTCATGAGTAGGTGTATTCTGACTCTGATCAGGTTATCAACGTGACCTAGTGAATAGTGCCGACAATATCCTCGGAATCTTAGATCATTCTAACANGAGGCAGTCATTTGCAAGGTGTTTTACCGCTATTTTTCGGAAATCACTTCGCACTATTTTCTTTGGCAGACTTTATCCAGCTCGTTTCTTTCCGAAGGCTCAGATACTACACTTTTGAGCACTGCATGGGAGATCTTCGACATAGACCTCACGGACTTCCCGAGTTCCCCACAAAAAGCTTCCACTTTATCATTGTTGTAGGTTGTCGCCAGCGTATAATCGGCTGTATTTTTCAGGACTGGGGCGGAGTCGCTTTTCTGCAAGGGTAAGACTGCGATTGTATGAAGTCGCCGGGTTTTCTTGTCATAAGATTCACGCGGAAGTACTACGAGTTCTAGAAAATTCGTTTTGCAATTGCAAGAGACAGATTTTGAGATGAGTACTCGTTCCGCTGTCTGTCGGTCTTTTGAAAAAAAGAACCATTGAATTCCCTGCATGTTCCTGGTAGAGCAGAACTTTGCGTATTTTCGTTATGAAAGTCTTAGTTTTTGAAGGCTCCGGTGTTTGAAAGCTCTTACACATTATACTTAGATAGTTGTCTGCAGTTCGAAGAAGTGATTGGTGGTTAGCAAAAGGCCTGTCGAGCATGGAGGCGGAACTCGTATTCTAATGTTTTCAAGCTCAGCAGTGTCTCCCTTCGAGTATGTTGCCGTAAAGGAAAAGCATGAGCTTTCTGTTTGCTAACGCAGGCGGAAGCGTTCGATCCCAATACATTTCATCCAGCTCCTTGTAGTACTTCGCAGCAGCGATAATCTCGCTAGGTTCCATGAAACTTCACTGGATGCAGTCGAGATGAACTCGGAGAAGGTCATGGTGATTAAAATGTTACATGTAACACGCCATTACACAAACACTAGGTCTTCTTTGGATGCATTCATTTTTATCTCCCGAAATAGAAGGTTCCATTTAAATAGGGTGTCGGGAAAGTCTTCGGGAACTATGAAATATTTATTTAGTATACAAAAAACAATAAGACACACCAAGAACCATGTTATCACTATCACTTTTCGCCACCTTTCAGGCAGACTTTTGCTTTCTTCCGCTGAGAATACTGCTTTGACTCGAGAAATAGTCAAGTCAATCATATAGGTCATCTTCGTTGGCAAACGATTTTCCTTGTATGGCTTGAAAGAGCGACAAGGAAAGGTTTCAGTCTGTTGGAACAAGGACTAGGCTGTAGTGAATGTGGCAGCACTTCCCATCCAGAGTCGACGGGTCCGGGAACTTCTCCCTTGTCACGGCGTCGCGCACGCCGCACCCGCCGCGTATCGCAGGATTGCGATGGAAGACTGGAGCGCGCAATTTGTAAGGTAGGGAGTCCTTTAATTATTTGAATTGGCTGGCCGCTTTCTTCAATTTCAATGCAGTCTTGATCGCCGCTTACATAGGAGGAGTCATTTTAATTAATCAAGTCTAATAAACATGAAAACGAAAAAGAAACAGAAGAAAAAACGATCAAATCCAACAAAAAAGCAAGACAATCAACGAAAAATATCGGGTCCTATCGATTGGCGGGAGGCGGGTGTGAGTACGGTAATTGCAGTGACATTTGCCGCAGCCGCAAGGGAGAATGCCGCGACAGGGGAGAAGTTCCGTTACCCAGAGTCGAGTAGCCGGCGACGAGTCACTATTGCGGGGTAACGGAACTTCTCCCCTATTGCGGCATTCTCCCTTGCAATGTCACTGCAACT